AAGTTTCTACCACATTTTTTTCTCTTGGATCTGCTTCTGAAACACAAAACTTTCAACAAAACACAGACAACAGCGGCCAAGTCATTATTCCCATCATTGTCCCTCAGACCGTCCCAGAAGCGCAGCTCTTGGTAGGACTCCAACTCGCAGGAGAGCATGGGCAGGGAAAAAAGGACAGGCTGGGGAAAGATGCTAGGTGCCTAGATCCTCACCACTGACCCTGCCACCTCCTGCCCCTGCCCCTCTCTCCAGGTGTCTGCAGGCTCTCCCTATCCAGCCACAGCCATGCTCACCGTGAGAGCCCCACCCTCACGAAGCTCTGGGTTTCTGTCAATTGAGCGGCTGGATTCTCGACCCCCTCGCGTTGGGGACAGTCTCATCCTCAACCTGCGAGACGTGGGCGTCAGTGGGGCCAGCTTCTCTCATTACTACTACATGGTGTGCATGAGCTGGGTTGTAGAGGAGGGCAGGGTGCAGGGACGGGCTGAGGCAGGAAAGAGCCCTTGGGGTGGGGGAGCAGTTTCAAGGCTGGAGGTGCGCGGTGAAGAGGGAACCACTCTTGCCCCAGATTCTGTCCCGGGGCCAGATCGTGTCTGTGAATCGAGAGCCCAGGAAGACCCTGACTTCCGTCTCCGTGTTTGTGGACCATCACCTGGCGCCGTCCTTCTACTTTGTGGCCTTCTACTATCATAGGGGCCTCCCAGTGGCCAACTCCCTGCGAGTGGACGTCCAGGCCAAGGCCTGTGAGGGCAAGGTAACTGGCATTGGGAGAGATGGCATGTGTGTGTGTTGGAGAGAGAAAGAAGAAAAGACACTCTCCCCATTCTGACTGTGTCCCACCTCCTGCCTTGCCAGCTGGAACTGAATGTAGATGGTCACAAGGAGTATCATCCTGGGGACACTGTAAAACTCCACCTGCTAACAGATTCTCCAGCCCTGGTGGCACTAGGTGCTGTGGACACGGCTCTGTATGCTGTGGGTGGCAGGTCCCACAAGCCCCTCGACATGGGCAAGGTGTGTCAAGACCCCCGCCCCAACCCTCCCTCACATTCTCCTGCTGCCCTGAGCCCTGAGCCCTGAGCCCAGAGCCCTGAGCCCAGCCCACCAACTCCTCCCAGTTCTCCCTCAAGCCGTGGCCCCATGGTCTCTATTTCTCTACTGTCTGTGTCTCTCATATTTTTCCATCCGCTGCCCTCTTACCCATAGCTGAGTGGCCATTCCTACCTCTTAGCCACTCTTGTTTCTGCAGCATCCCTGCCTTTTTTTTTTTTTGGCCAGGTCTTCGAAGTTATGAACAGC